CAAGGGTTAAATGCTTGTCTCCTCCCCCCCCCCCGTGGGCAGTATTAACAAAAAAATATTTACTGGTCCTCTGATTCCCCCATTGAGCTAAACCAGTAATGGTCGCCATTGCACCCCTCCGCTAGACCACTGCACCAGCAGAGGGGAGTGACGAAATCCAGGATTGGAGGATGGGTAAGTATTTCTCTATGGCTACTTATGGCTCGTGTGCCCACAGAGAGGGCTCTGTGTGCCAGCTGTGGCATGTGTGCCATAGGTTCGCCATCACTGCCCTACACCATGCAGAGTTAGCCATGCTTATAATGATCATGTGCAGTCACGTCAATTCTGACTTATGCGATGCTTTCCATGGTTGGGTTTCCTAGACAGAGAGTCCTCGGAAGTGGCTTCCCATTCCCTTCTTCTAGAGGCCATCCTGGGGCTGTGCAGCTGGCCCAAGGCCACCCAGGCAGGCTCTACTCATAGGAGACACAGCATGTAATCGAATTCAAAACTTTTGGCTTCACAGCCACTGTGATAGCCAACCAGCTTACTCAGATGTAAATTCCACTGATTAAATGAGCATAGGATTGCAGACGTATTTTATTATAAATCTTCTAGTGGAACATGAATGAACTAGAATGCAGAAGAAGCTCACCACTGCATTATTGAAAAGCATGTTATTTCTCTGAAGGACAGGATGCAGAGGATCACATTCATGGATATCGCTGCTGTGCATAAAGGGTGCAGAATTCTCTCTTGCAGAAGAAATCTCTCCCATTTCTTTGGCAGACTGGGAAGTTTTCAAAGTGTGGAGGGTCTGTATTGGGGGGTTCCAATGGAATTACGGCTAGTCTTTGCATAGCACAGGCAATGGTCAGCCATCACAGGTATAGGCAAAGAAAGGGCCTGGGATTTTGCAGCAGGGAGAGGGGAATGGGGAAGATTTTAACTTTCTGTGAACTTTGTAAAGGATCCAAGACATACTCTCTGCTGGGGGTTCCCTTTCCTTCACCCTTGCTGGTGTAATTCAATGAGGCGCCCGGCAAAGACAGCCAGCGTTCCAATGATACAAACCAGCATGAAGATGCCAAGGAGAAGGTGGTCAACCACCATAGCGACAAACTTCCATTCTTCTGCAGCCTGAGGATGGAAAAAGAGAAATGGTCAGGGAAGAAATCGGAATGGTCTTTGGATGCTGATGACCATGGTTTAGGGAAGACAGGGAAGCCACTTGTGTCCAGGTTTTATAGGAGCTGTTTGAGGTTCTGAATTCTACCTCCAGAATCAGTCTGGCACCTTGGCTATCTCCTTTAAAGTTCAGGCTGAAACCCTGGGGCAGATTTCCCCACCTCTATGGAATCAGCCCCCAGCCCCCATGGCTTTGGCTTATGTTTCGAAATGATTCCCATGCAAAAAGCCTTCTTACACTGTTGGACTCCTGGTCTGACTTCATCGTTTCAGCGATGTATTTGATACCCTCAATGGCACTTTTCACATCGGGGTTTTTTATGAGGGATGAGTGGAAATTCACAGTCGCTGGCTCTTGTTTTCCTGAGATCTCCGAGATGTCCATGTCCTCAGTAAAAATCTTTTTCTCTTGCTTATTTCTGGACGGCCGCTTCATTGTGGAGAAGAACATGACGTTTGGGATTGTGTCGATAAAAACCTGGAAAACATCCGTATTTGTCTTGTAAACAAGGGCTCTATCAAAAGTAAGTGTTGCCTCTCTTTTTATTCTGAGGCTATTATCACTCTTCAGAACAAACTGATTTTTTTTTGTCTGAAATTTGGACTCCTGTATTTGTAATTTGCGGGAGGGTGTGTGTCATTTGAGGCTACCGGAGATCATTGGGTTTTTAATCACACTCACTTTTATAAGGCTGTTAAACAATAAATATATTAAAATTAAAGTGCACTCTTAAGTACCTGCAAGGATGAGCAATGTACCGTTATGGCATCATTCCTGAGAATGGAGATTTGTGGGATTTATTGGCTTTGGAGTCAGGCACTGATTGAATGATTGTTTTATTCAGATCATCTGAATTGGAGAGTAGAGTTTCCCAGCTGAAGAATAGGGCTTTCCTTTCCATTACAGTATTTTGAACGCCCATCTAAATGGCCCAAGACCATCAGTGTAACTGAGGCTTTGCTCCTAACTGCTTTTTCCAGATATTTTTCAGTTTACAGTTTCTATCCACCATGACGGGCATCGTCAACAGTGAGAGACGATGAACATTGAACTCTGAAAACAACTTGGGGGGGGGGTTGGAAGCACCCAGCTGCCTGCCATGTGCTATTAGCTAAGCACTTGTGGCCATCACTCGTTTTACCTTTCTCACCCACTGGGGCATAGTGTGGGTGCTTGGAGAGCGGTGATGCGTGTTAATCACAACCACGGTGATGATGATGGAGGCGATGACGAATACCATGGTGAACAACATGTATTTGCCAATCAAAGGGACAGCACTAGAGGTCGAGGGAATGAGCTCCACAATGACCAGAAGGAAGACAGTCAAAGAAAGCAGGACAGAAATACTCAGTGTCATCTTCTCACCTGAGAAAGGGAGGGAGAAGTAACAAAAGAAAAGAAAATAGCTGAAGCAGTGGGGTATTCAGGAAGGGAGAGGTTTTTTTTTCCCCCCAGAGAGTATTATATGCAGAGTACATCCTGGTCTAGCTTGCCATTAAAAGTGAACCTCATTATGGAACTTGTCTTGCTAGCAGGGGCATGTGTTTTGTGTAACCATCCAGATCGTTTTCAAGAGAAATCCACCTCCAGGCTCATTCATTTTCAGTTACTCAGCTCCAGATATTAGAGTCATTTTGACAGAAACACATTTTCCAGGAGCGGTTTGAGTCTTGTTCTGGTGGCAATGCTACTGTGATCAATATGAATTCTTAAATATTTTAACTAGTACTGTACGTGGACAACCACAAGAGGGCAGCTTGTTGCTTTTACCAAGAGAAGCAACCAGTAAAGAAAGAGATGCACCTACCAGAATCTGTGGGTAGATAAAACACTAATCCTGTTAAGAACGAGAACAGGAGGCAAGGGATAATGACGTTGACGATAAAGTAGAGAGGCAAGCGCTGCATTACAAAATGGTAGGTGATATCCAGGTACGGCGTCTCAAGGCAGCAGGCGTAGGTCACGTTATGCTTCCAGCCTCGGACGTCTTTCATGATCCACTCCCCACTCTCCATGTAGTTACTCATGTCTGGACGTTCACTTTCCTGAGGAAAGGAATGTGTGTTTCTGAGGAACATTATGACCAAGGCCAGATGCGACTTCACATTGATTCGTTTAATTTCATTAATTTTTCCCCCTTTGTATTAATGAGCTGAAATAAAGCATGCCTGAGTTTCTTCTCCCCACACTTCATCTTCACGACAACTTTGCAAGCTTGTGAAAAAGCAACTGGCCTGAGATCACTCAGCATCTTTCATAACGAAGTTAAGGGTTTCAAATTGGATTTCTTAAGACCCACGGGAACATGTTAACTGTTATCTGGTTGGATTCAACAGAATGTTAAATACTGTAAGCAAACACTGTCCTGTTTTCTTATCTTTTGTTGTAACACTCTTGGGCTTACCTCACTTTTTTTGAGTGGCAAGACATTGCAAAATCAATAGTGCTCAAATACCTGGGGGAGGGCGTTAGAAGGAGGTCATGTGGGGGGCTAGTGGTGTTTCTGTAATATTGTTGTTGGATGACAAACCTACAGGTTGACTCTAGACAGAGACCCATAACTGGAACACTGCATCAGTCAGCCAAAGGCCTCTGCTCCCCCCCTTCATTCTACCAAGAAGACAGCAGCACCTTAAAATGCTTAGTGAGCCCACACTCAAGTTTCTGTGTCTTGCGCTTTGTCCAAACCACTATCCTTTCCCTCATATAACACCCTTAGCTGAGGAGTGGGTAAAGATGTGCCCTTTGCCCTCTTTTCCAGTTGTTTTGTCAAATCTGAGCATCAAAGTCAAGTCTTATGTTGAATGTGAGGGTCACACAAGATGTTAAGGGAAACACATAGTCCTGAGGGCTGATATGTTCTCCCATGCTGAAGGTATCACTGAGGCCCAAACTAGACATCAGAATGTATTCCCTGTGATTAACACATTTTCCCCCTTACAGATTTCCTGAGAAATACACACTTCAGCAATCAGACCTACACATTTATGTTTATCTTCCAGGGACCAATCACAACTTCCTCTGTGCAAGTTACATAGTTGAGGGCAACTGAAGACAACTGTGCGATGACGAACAGGTGTCTTAATTTTCTCCTAATACTGGTTAAGTGTTTTGTGTAATTCAATCTCAGGGCTTTGGGTCAAATTATCTTTCTAGATCCGCAAGTCAAGAAGGAAATATTAGAGTTGTTGTGGGTTTTTCGAGGTGTTTGGCCCTGTTCTCCAGAACACGGCCAAACAGCCTGAAAAACCCACAACAGCCATTAGATCCCAGCCGTGAAAGCCTTCGAGAACACAATGAGATATTAATTTGAATGAACAGGATATTTTGTCTCTTATGCCTCAGAGTAGAATATCATTACTGGGCTAATACTGAGAAAAATGGCTTCTTGCTGTGGTTTGTATTTTGTTGGTAGGGAGGAGTTATTTCTCTACCCCAGCAAAAGAAAATTTTAAATCAGTATTTTAAATAAGAATATTTATAGCACACCAAAAATTTCAACAAAAGGAAACTCCCATTGACACCCCAGCCCTGCTGTATTTCGAGAAAAAGCACAACTTTGCCTAAACACCTCCTGGTGAATTTGTGGCTTTATTGTTCCTGAAGTGCCCCACACCTCTGCTCCCCCCCCAGCACTACAAGAAAGCAAACTGGCAGAGAACACAGGTTGCCTTAGGCAGTGCATCTCTTGCCCTAGTTCCAGGTACAGAATTGTATCGGAATGGCACTTCTTGCTTTAGCCCTGGTGACAGGACAGCCTCCTCCATGACACCTAAACACAGCAGGCTAAACAGCCCCTGTGGGACAGGCTGTAGGGCATGCCTAGCCTTGTCCTCGAGTGCAGTGGAACAGGCAGCAGCCCCAAAGGAATGACAAGGACTATTGCTGCTGTTGCCTGAGATGTTTGCTCCACAGTCTGATCCCAGAGGTGTTTCTGTCTACTGATCAACAAGAGACCAGACCCTGCACCATGGAGACACATAAAGAAGGATTCTGCAGAAGGCTCCCACCCGAAACAGAACCCGATAAAGATCTCGGGATCCCAGTCTCTTTCTTAACGGTAACCTACCGGGTAGATGACCACCACAGTGCCATCGTAGGTCCACGTGCCCAACTTCATACTGCAGTTTTGCTCGTCGAATGGAAAATGGGTGACTATGATTTCACAGTAGCTTTTAAAGATGGCTGGAGGGTTCCATGTGATGTGGCCTGTGTAGTCCAAGAGGACTTTGGTAAGCTGCTCAATTGCAAAATCTCCGTCTGCACTGTGAAGGGAAAGTGAGTAAACTCAGTCACACAAATTATTTGCAGTTTGATGGAGCAGCTACCAACCTGAGAGTCTTGAGGAATCCGGGAGAATACAAGCCAATGATTTGGGATAGGCCATGAAAAAACTGCCATAGGAGGTGTATGTGAATCAATGCACCTACTTGTTGTATAAAACAAAATCGGGCCGCCAGATATCTTCCGAAGGGATGCGAATCTGTTTCACACCACCGTAGTCTTCTGGGTTCCAATTCAAATTGACATCCACCCATTGCTAGCAAAGGGAATTAAAGAGAGTTTAAAAAAAGCTTGTATACTTATTGCTGGATGCAAGACTAATGAAGGGCAGATATTTTATCTGTTGGCTCTTGCTAATGCAGCGTTTCCATTTTGAGGGCAGGGACAAATGTGTCCAGTGTTAGCAGCTTTGCTTCACAAAACACACAATAACGTAACATGACCGAGTGCTTCTTGTTGGTTTGTTCAGAGCTGAGTATGTTTAAATATTTACACACAAGGTCTTCAAGATTTCCCAAGCCTACAGACGGCAGTGTGAATAGGTCTACTTGTGATTTCTCCCCCCCCTCTCCCTTGTAGAAGTGAGCTACAGTGGAAATCCTTAACATTTAATATTGATCTGAACTCAGAAGGCTTTCACACTACAAATTTCTCTGGGCTTTGTGTGTGTGAGGGAGAGTGTGTGGCCCCTGCCACCAGGGTCAGTGGTCCCATTGGTTGTCAATGAGCCACATACCCAGCAACCGTTTCAGTTCAACCCTATCAAAGAACACGATCCTGCCCCCTTTTCCTGAAACATGCTAGAATGAAACTGAACAATGTGTTGGGGAATTGTTTAAAGAAATGCTAAGGCAGAGCTGGAGAAGCTATAGTTTTCCATGTCCGGTGGACTACATTTCTTAGAAACACCCCACCCCACCATAAGGGAGTACGCATAAGAACTGAAGAAGGTCACACTGTGTCTTCTCCTCCACAACCCTGCAGCCTGTAAGAAACTTTTTTTTAACGTTTATGTAGTTCCACAAGGAAGTTGCCAAGTGGCATAGGGCCAGGACTAAGAGAAACACACCTTCAAAGCTTCATGAGGGGCATGCATGGAGAGGTCTGGCTGGCTGTTTTGTGCCCAGCCAGATGATTCAAAAACTTTCCATGTAACCCAGCTAATGGGCAATCAGAAGAACTTTATCCAAATATGTCAGGGTCCCCCCCCCAAACCCAGAATTTTATACATGTTATAGTTTCTTGTCATTACTGATTTGCTCACATTTGAAACAATGCACAAAAAGTTCACAAAGGATGGTTATGGAGCATTTCACTGCTGTGAAATTGTCTTTCAGTGGGAGAGTACCCAGGATCAAAATGGACCTTTGCGCATTGAGTAAAACATGCTGTTTTATAATACTGTAAATGGATTCATAATAAACAGAGGAAAAAATTACCTGCTTCAGGCGCACATTGGTGGTTACAATTTGATTCACTTCATCCTTAAAAGAGCAAAATACTAGGATTAAAATGAGCTGTGTTGTTGAGATTGTATAACATAAAAACACCTTGCTCTCTTTCCCTCCCAATTTCCAACTTGCTGTTTTTGAACTATCCAAACTTAGGCTGCATCTTCTATGGGACAACATATTTGGATCTCCTCTACCAAGTAGCCTTCCTTGGCACTCCATATAACTTAGACTACAATTCCTATAATCTCAGCCTGCATGGTGGTGCTGGAGATGATGGGATTCTCAGTTGGACATGTCTGGACATTGCACCAGTTTGAGAAAAGTTACTGAAAGCCATTGTGGAGAATCAATGGCAGTATCTAAATTAATTGGGATGGCTGCTCACTTAGGGAACTCTCAGCTAATATATTGTCTGTGCTTTCATTGATGTCATCGAGGTTGGGCAAAGGTCTAGGGGGGGTTGTAGTGGCAAAGCACTCATAAGTACTCTTTACCAGTAAAACCCTAAAAAAGGTCGCCATAACTCAAAACTGACTCAACAGCACACAATCAAGAATAAAAAGATTAACAGATTTATTTCAGTGCAAATTTTTGCAGAAGTGAATTGTTATTCAAGTCTTTTTTTAAAAAACTGTTTTATGAACCTGGAATAATGTGTTTCTGTATCCATTATTCAAAACACCAGAAAATGGCCCAATATTGTTGCACAACATCCCACATTCATAAACTGCAAGATCTCTAAATTATTGCATTTCTTGGCTTTTAAAAACCAGAAGTTTAAGTATATATAAGCGACACGTAAATTCCATCAGAAACTTCCCTAATTTAGAATGTCCCAGTGCTAGCGAATCCCAGAAAATGAGCACATGATCCACACTATTGTTGCTGGGGGAGGACAGAAGCAAAAATAACTGGGATGTTGCTGTAAGTCTCTCTCTGTGTTAAAATATTTTGAAGACCTTTTTTTGAACGTAATGAAATGATGAAGCAAAGGTGTGCGTAAGATACATACACAGCCTCTAATTTCTCAAATAAGCTAATATTGCCATGCCTGCTCTGCAGAAGAGAGACTAGAAAGCTATGTTCCAATTTCCAAGTCCTTTCCTTGGGGCAGGCGGCCTGCGGAAGAAAAGCTATATAGGATGAAAAGGTCTGCGAACATGCTGTGTATTTATGCAAAAGACACCCCCTCTCCTTCGGAAAGGAAAGAAAAAGGGAGGGCTTGGATTTTGTAAAGATAGTCACAGAAATCATCCATACCATGTAGATGAAAAACAATGAAGAAAGACATGAGGGCGGGGGGAAATCAGCTCATTTGAAATGTGATGTTGGAGGTGAGCGTTACAGATGACACAGAGAGCCAAAAAGGCAGAAAAGTAGGTGCTCAATCAGGTCAAGCCTAAACTCTCATTAGAGGAAAAATTAGTAAACTGAGGCTATTCTACCTTGCATGTATAATGAAAATACAGAACTGAGTGGAAAAGACAATATTGTTGGGAAAATGGGGGTGGGGACCATAGGAAGACTAACATGAGACAGATTATATCAAGAAGATAAGCCATGGCTGTTACTTTGCAAGATCTGAGCCAAACCTACTAGAGGGTAGTGGCGGTAGGATGAGAGAATAACTGGATATGAGATGTTGGTTTGTGAGATCTGAACAAAGCTGTTAATGATGTGACATTTTAGTAACTCATATATTTGATGGCATATAACATCTTTGGAGGTTTTTTTTTTAAAAAATCATCAATTGTATAGTTACAAGATAGGTGGTATGGTTGAGACTATAACTTTTGATAACCATCAAAACTCCCCAGCCACAAATACAAAAAATAATAATTTCACAGCTTAAATGAGTGCGCTTCTGAATACAGTGGTGCCTCGCATAGCGAGGTTAATCCGTTCCGGATTAACCTCGCTATGTGAAAACATCGCTGAACGGATCAAGAAAACCCATTAAACATCGTTTAATTTGTTCCAAATGGGCCGAAAACTCACCATTCAGCTATGTTTTCCTATGGCCGGCAACCATTTTCGCGCCCTCTCCTCGCTTACCGAGGGCGCGAAAACGCTGCGCGTGGCCATTTCGGGGCTTCCGGTGGCCATTTTGGAGCTGGCGAACAGCTGATCCGTGGGTTGCAAAGTGAAGGTCGGTAAGTGAAACACTTACCGACCTTCGCTATGTGAGTTTCGCCCATTGGGGCCATCGCTTTGCGATCGCAGTTGCGATCGAAAAACCCCCCTCGCTATGCGGATTTGTCGTTCTATGGTGCGCTCGTTAAGCGAGGCACCACTGTATATGTCTTCTGTTCTTCTTAAATTATCTTTGAAAGTATTTTTTCAACCAGGTACAGAATCCCTCTGCAAGCACACATCCCTGTTAGGCCAGGAAGGAGTTAAAATTCAAGTCCTGATAGACAGAGTCAAAAGTTCAGATTGCCCCAGATCTGGAGCTGATTTTCCATTGAAAACTTTTTTCAGGAGCCTGGTCTCAGAATTTCTGAGAGAATGTTTACTGAAAGCAATCAGGGCTGGGAACAAACACAATGACTGTGCTTCTGTAATGCAGAAATACTTTGAATATGCTTTACAAAAATATATGCCAATTTCCTGGAGATACATGGCAAAATGTCCTTTTCTGAAGGGCTGTCACTCCATTACTTTCTTTAAAACAAGCCTGTTTCTTTACTCTTCAAAGAAATCCTGCCTTTTAACTGTTTCTGTGACCTTTAATTGCCCCCAAATTATCCAAATATCTCCTTTCCCCATCCACAAAACTGCAACAGTGCATCTACTTTACAAAGTTTTTGTTGGCAAGTGTATTCCACACATGTTCAATGTGATAACAAATCACTGTTTCTCCCTTTTGAAAATCCTCATTTGAAGATCAATATCTCAACCCCTCCAGCCTGGATTCCTTCCAAATTAAAATATAAGGAGGTGGGGCCAACCATTCTCTTTCAAGATAAGCACGATTGATCTTCTCAATTTATATGGTATATTTCAATCTGCGGATGTTTCGGGTCGCCTATTTCTGAATTGGGACTGTAAAACAAATTTACTTTTAAAATTTTTTTAACATATAAAGTGCCTCAACTTACCCAAAATTTGGCACAGAGAGCAGATTGCCTTTTACAACTGCACCAAATTTGGTAATGATACAATATCCTATTTCAAAGTTATAATTTTTTTTGTTTGGGATGCACCCATTTTCAAATTGGCTTGTAGAGTGTTGCTTTGCTGCACAATAATATTACTACACTTTCATGCAGCAATAATCTGCAAATGATCACACTAAAATAGATCTGTTACTTTTAAGGAGGCATGCCACCTGTGGTGAGTGCTCAAAATAAATAAAGCACATTTTAAAAATCCTGCCTGATTAATTAGGGATACATTTTGTAGTCAATTAAAGTTATTTTGACCAATACAATAAATTTCATGGAGTAATCAATAACATGTGGCTGTCAAATCATTGCTTCTGCTGGTAATTACAGTAATGGTCTAATAATCGTACTACTAATAACTGGTAATCATGGATATTTCTGCCGTACCACATTGATCAGCTGAATAAGTTGCAGTCCAAGAATGATGTCAACAGGTTGATGATGGTCGCTTACAGGCCTAACGACTTTGTTGTAGTTCTTGAACAAATCCGCAACCAGACGAGTTTCATGATCAGAGGAGTGGACCAGAACAGCTGCAGGACGATTTCAAAAAGAGTAACATTTGACATTCTGTGTTTGGCTATTATTATTATGAGATTTCTGGGTGATTACTGAGAAGGAGTCTTGGGCTTGAGCAAAGAGTTAAAGGAATAGAGGAAAATATTGGCTTGATGCCAATTGTTAGTCCCAATAAGGGAAAACCCATTGAATCAACTGTTGAATGAACAGTCAACACTTATATCAACTTCACTGATTTAATGGGTCTACTTTAGTGGAGCTTTCCAACTGGATTTAGGCCAAGTAGTTGATACTTCCCCATGAAGTGTTACTTTTGAGGAGATAATAAGGCATAACATTATTAATGTCATTGTAAAAAAAAAGGATAAACTTTTATGTAAAAATTGTGTATAATTATTAAATTGTATAAACTGGCATCATTGTTAAAGTGTAAGGAGTAACATCACCTTGTTATTTCTAAAGTGTCATGGGGAGTGAATGCCATTTTATTTTTTTAAAGTGTCACAATCTCTCTCTTTTTAAGTATAATAAGTAACAAATTACTTCTTAAAAATAACATCGGAATCTTTTTGGTTTCAGTTTATTTTGGATGTTATCAAGGCCTGTTTAAGGAGGATAATTATGAAAATAATCTTTGGGAAAATTAAAAAGAAACGGTAGCAAGACAAATAATGCAAAAATAAGTGTTGCTTTCTACTTTGACAAGACTAACAACGTTAAGATTGAATTAGAAACAGCCTTTTATTCTTAGAAATTCTTATAATTTTTTTTGTCTGAGCGTGCAAGCAAGCCAGTTAGTAAGGTTTATGACTTCAGCCATGAAAGGGATTTTATATTATTAATTAGCTATCAAATAAAGAAGCATCCTTGGTCAAGCAGATCAATTCACTGGATGCTAGGATGCATTAAATGCCACCTGAAGAACCTATTTCTATCTAAATATTCCTGTATTTTCTCATGTTAGTCTTAATATATTAAAGAACCAGATTATTATCAAGTAATTTTAATTAATGGGGTTAAATCTAACAAGAAAAACAACATCATCCTTAATGTAATAATATCTGCAAATCCTGGTGGCGTGCCATAAGACTTGGTTGTCCTTAAAATAATGTTTTACAAGCAAGGTATAGAAGACATGAAATGGCAACCTTTAAGTCATAATACATAGATCTTTGCTATTTCTTTTTTTTTTAAATACTGATCAGGATCAGGATCATATTTACAATTACTAACATACAAATGTTTCTGGCCATCTACTGCTGTGTTTAGGTAATGTTTAGCTGCAGTCAGATGAAGAATTGTATCATTTTGAACATAATCTCTCTCTCTCTCTCTCTTTCTAAGAGCCCTAGCATTCCATCATCGAAGCCAATGTTCTGCCACCGATTGAAAGGCTTTACCTGGTCCGAGGAGGAGAAGGAGAAGGAGGGATAAGCAGCGGTCACCCATCCCTTTTCCTCAGAGGGTTCCGAAGAGGCCAGTATCCAACACCAACTAAAATCTGGCTTCTTCCATCTTGTTGTTTGGGAAATGTGACCCACACGGTTATTGTTTCATAGCACCTGCTAAGGGGGACGGCAGCTGAAAGCCAGCATACCCGTTTGGGACAGGAGCCGTCTATTTTTGCCAGCCCAGCGTCTCTCTGGCTTACAGCAGGAATTCCTCTTCTCTACATTACACATTCCTTAGCGTGTCCGTGTGTGTGTGTGGTGGGAAGTGTGGAGAATGTTGCCTTCTGCATCAAAATGTCATGTCTTTGCTCTTGAACGTATTGATAAATATTTGGTGACGTAAAGTGTATTTTGAGCTTTTGTGTATTATTCAGCGGGCCTGAATTAATATACCTTTCTTCTTTCCATTATTGCTATTGCCAAATTCACATTCTGCACAGACCTGAAGGACAAAACCTTCTGAAAAAAAATAGTACCTTCTAGCCACCAGAGGGAGCTTATGACTCATGTATTTGACCATCAACATTTATTTTTGAAATTATGGGTTTTGAGATCTGAGAACAAACACCCACACCACCAACCAATAACCTTTATTATATAATTTAATCAAATGGGTACTTAGTTGTTTTCAACTTGTATTCTCAAACAGCTAAGCAAGGACAACTGAGACAATAATCCTATATTCACTTACTTGGGAGAAAATCCCACAGAACTCAGCAGGCCTTTTTCATTTTGACTAGAAACATATAGAACTGCACTGTACACCTTTTTGTTAAAATGTTTTAAAATGTGGCTTCCGCGTGTGAGAAATTCCTTCATTTAGCCTTTGAACTGCACTCAGTTGTTTGGCCAGTTTGCTTGAGCCCTGAGAAGCTGTAGTCATGCCAGGAAGAGTCGTTGGCTTGAGAAACAAATTTACAAACGGAGCAGAAATTGAGGGTTTTTAAAAAGTGAATCCTGCAAGGAGAATGATACAGAACAGGGTGGAGAAGCCTATAAAATTCATACCCTCCTTGTAATACCGTATTTTAAGAGGAGTTCTTTTTTTCTGGAAGAAAAGCAGGGTGGTTTTTAAAGCAAAACTAGACTTGTTTCTTTTTGGTAGATTTCACTGGGATTTCTTTCTTTCTTTCTTTTTTTTTGCTTTAATCATCTCCTTCTTTCTGTGTGTGAAACAGAGTTCCATTGATAGTCCTGGACTTCTCAGTCTCTCTCTTCCCTCCCTCAGTAGCTTCCATTAAGGTTTGATGGACTCTCCGGAGCAGAACATAGTAAATTCCAACCCTTAATCTCTTGCCAACCCCCCCCTCCCCGATCAGCACCTATTTAGCTTCCACAGTTCTTGAGCTATGGTGTTTCAAGGCTATTCAAAGGGCCCTGGATTCTGACACGTTTAATACAAAGTATGTTCACTTGTGAAAGAGATAAAAACATTCTCCCTATTTTCCATCTGACTAAAGAATGCCTGTCCTTGTTCTTATTCATGTTGTGCCCATTTCCACAGGCCTTACATAGGACAGGTGACCCTCTATCCACAAACACACACTGGTTCTTCACACCCCTATGTCATGTTTGGTGGCTGTAGCAAGTGAGGTGTAGTGGACAGAAGGTCACACGAGAACTCTGGAGACTTGGATTCCAATCCCCATTCCACCATGGAAATTTACTGTGACAGTAGGGTATGTCACTTAATAATCATTCCTTCAATGTCTCTCATACTTCCCAATCCTAGTAAGGTTGCTGACAGTTGGATGCAACTTGACAGCACATAACAAGAGTGGGGGAAATTACCGGAAACTGTCCCTTCCCAGTTTGCTGATGGATGCCTTCCTTTGTCAGAGAAACCGAAGTTGGATACAAAACTCTGCCAATTTTAGTGGGGATTATTCATAGCAAAGGATGGACAGAGTTACAGCTCCATGTTCTTACAAAGCTTTTCTGAATGGAGTCTGAATGAATGGGAGTCCGGAGGAAGTCTGTAAGTAGTTTGTATGATATGGAATGGTGCTACTTTCTGGGTGGGGGTGGGAAGAGGATCACATATTCTTCAGTGACATTGCTAAGCTTAAAGGACGCGGAAGTCTCCTTCACAGAAAAATCTCCTCCTATTTCTGTGGCAGACCGGAAAGGTTTCACATTTCGGAAGGCATACTTTGAAGTGTTTCGGTGGAATTATTAATAGCCCTTCTGGAGCACTTGCCCCAATCAGTCAATTCTGCTTGCTTATAAACGTTCTATACAATTAAAAAAGAAAAAAAGAGAATCACATTATACTATACCTAAAGCCATTGTTATTTCAAATCCCAATAGATTTTTTTTAAAAAAAACAACCTTAATTCTCAAACCAAAAACAAATTTGTAAGGGAAGAACCAGAAAGTCTGTAGCTGACTTTGTTGTTATTTGTTAAGAGCATGATTCTGTTTAGCGAGGGAAACAAAAAAAATGTTCATTTTAAACATTGTGTTGAGTGTCATTTCATAAAAGCATGGAGAAGATCTTCTTTTTGTTAAAATGTTATATATTGGTAATAATTGCAAGAACAAATCAGACCACTTATCCATTTCATACGGTTATACAAAAAGTATGCAGAGAAATAGTACTGTACAGCAATTGTTAACTTCATTCGCCTGGAGCGAACAACTACTCTTTCCAATCCCACTTGCTTTTTTGTCAGTCAGCTTGGCACAGGAGTCTCAAGGTGATTTCACAAGCCAAGCTGAGGGCTTCTTCGTATGCCATAAGTTACACAGAAACAAGTTTGTGTGGGATATATGGTATGTCCAGTCCTAAAGTCATAGCCCAACATCAAAAGAATAGGCCAAGGCCAAAACATCAAATGACATCAGTGAATCCAGAAGTTTTTTTAAACCGGAGACTGTTTAAAAAGCATCAATGTGTGATAGGGCATGCAGGGTTGTTTTGAGTGTGTGTGTGTGTGTGTGCGTGCACGCGTGCACACACACACATACACATGCATTCAGACATGGGATCATGTACAAAACAGGACTGTGCTGTCACCCCTGACCTTCATTGGCACTGTGTTTCTGTACAGTTGAGAGCCCTGCAGAAAGTGAACTGGGCCCCCATTCATATGGAGACAAAGTCTCCAGTTGCAGAAGTCATACGAAGGCAGCCTGTTTCCACACAATAAGTACACGCATGTCAGCTGACTGAGCAAGAAGACAACATGAAAGGGGCTTCTGCCCTCTATTCAAAGAACAGGGAATGCCTGAACTGGCTCTTTGGATTGTGGTCATTCTTTTGAAATAAGTGATATTGACTTGAATCAAAAAGATTTTGAATCCAAAGGGCAGAATTGTCCAACAAAGGGCTGAACCGTGCAGTATTACCCGTTGCTTGACGTCATGCGTCCCCAGGTCATTCTCTGGGAAGGGAAGTCAGGGTTTCCCAGAGGCAAGATTCTATCATGCCTAAGAAAGGATGGCAGACCGTTTTCTGGGCTAGAGGTGGTGGCCATGAGGTCCTCAACCTAAGCCTCAAAGAGAACTGACTGACAGACTTCAGTCCTTTGCTGTTCTCAGTAAGAGGCCCTGGGAGGCAGCTGTTTGATTTTGTAACACATTCACATTCTGAAAAGCAAAATTGTCTGTATGAATACGTGAGGGAAACCTTTGACTCAGAGCATGTGTAGAGTAGGGGAAAAGAATTAGAGGAAAAGATGCTAAGAAGGTACAAACAATGTTTTGGGATTTTTATAGGAACTGCTTTAAGGTGATCCTGATTATATATACTTATTCCTCTGAATTTTCTCTCTCATCAGATGACACACAATGACTTCATGACTTCTGGGTCATGTATCTTTTGCATACAGAATTGTCATCAAGTATATCAGATGACAGCCTGGAAGCAACTAATTACAAATAACTTGTTGCTTGCAAATAGTTCCTCTTTTCCAATAGTGAAAGTTTAATTATGGATAATTTTCAAAGCTCTGTAGGGGGCATAAAGGAACGGAAAATATGCTGCTAATTTAATATTTTAAAATAAACATTTTCTTCATGTCATAATTTTCTTTTATTAAATTTAGTTTCTTGTTAGTTTCCAAGAATGCAATGATTTTAGCTACCTGGAAAGAGTTGAGTCCAAACCTGACTAAAAAGGAGTATATTCTAAAAGCAGCTTTTGCCACAGTTTGACTGTTAATGTCACTTCATGCATATTTTTCACTGTTGTACGAATGTAGATCAATTTGATTTGTATCTGAGTATTTTCTATACAGATCAGAGCTGATGCATTCTGAGTTGGTCTAGAGGTGGCTTAAAATTATTTATCCCCAGGTTTGTGCCTTCCTGATGTTGCTGGAGTGCAGCTCCCATCATCCTCCACCACTGATTATGCTGGTTGAGGCTGATTATGCTGGCTGAGGCTGATGGGAACAGCAGTTCAGCAACAGCTGGAGGGCCATGTGTTTTGCACCCTAGATGCAAACAATTTCCTTCTTCCTTGGGTTGCCTTGGAGTAAATATAGGCTGCAACATCTTTCCATCGTTCATCACCTTCCATGATGTCAACTTTCTAGGGGTGAACAGTGGCTCTTAAGTTGCAATTATGTTGCTACCAAAAATCACAAAAAAATTCCCCCCAAACACCACAAATAGCTAGGTTCAGCAATTTTTCTTCTTACTGTACAATTATGCCTAGATTTAAAAAATAAAAGAAAGGAAGAGGGAAAAAAAAAAGGGGGGGGAAATCTGACAATTTTTACCATCTTGGAAAAGCTGGCTGTGCAATGTAATGGAATTTAGTTGCTTAGACTGATTTCTTTACTGGGTCCTTCACCCACAAATTTAAATGCTTTTTCCATTCTCAGACAGACAGAAAGACAGCACTGCTCAGCCAGATTGGTTCAAAAGCCCAGCACTCTCGTCTCTAGAAGCAAGCTATGGAAGGTCTAATTTTAGAAGAACCGTTTTCCCTGTCCTCTTGCCTAGGGAAGAATTCCTAAGGTGGTGCCTGCCCCCTCATATATCAATGTATTAATATGTAAAATTAAGGCAGATATTGTTGTTGCTAGTTGGTGGTTGTGGTGAGTACACATGACAAGAAACCATATATAGCTCTTGGCAGTGGCATGCGAGTTGAAAGTCTTGCAAGGAACGGAGGATGATGTAAAATAATAATCACCACCACGACCCCCATAGTTCATGTGTGCACCACACTCTGGAAAGACAGC